CCGATGCTGATGATGCTGATGATGCTGATGATGGTGATGATGATGGTGGTGATGCTGCTGCAGCTGATGATGGTGATGCTGATGCTGATGATTAGGATGATGCGGATTATGATGATGTTGTTGTTGATGATGATGATGCTGATGATGATGATGCCGTTGGTGATGATGATGCTGCTGATGATGATGATGCTGATGCTGATGCTGGTAATGGTGATGGTGATGGTGATGTTGATTATGCTGAGGAGTAGAAGGATGAGGAGGAGGAGGAGGCGGATGAGGACCAGGAGGACAAGGAGGACGAGGAGGACTTACCCTCACAATCCAGAATCCTTCCACGGCACCACCTCTGGTACGCTGATCATGGGAACCCGTAAAACTCTTGCACATGTTAAAAACGAATGTGCGCGGCGCCAAGGCGAGAGCACATTTTGAAAAAGAACCGCTTTCAATCCGAGAAGCTCATTGCATTTTTTAGGGCGAATGTGCGCGGCGCTAATGCGATAGCCACATTTCGAAAACGGGTCGCCCTCAACCCGTGAAGCCCTTGCACATGTTAAGAATGTGCGCGGCGCTAAGGCGAGAGCCATATGTTGAAACCGACACGCCCTCTATTTGCGAAACTGTTGTTGTTTTTTTGAGCTTCAGGGTCATACATGGTGAGGAAGTCTCAGGCGAAACACCTGGCCCGCCCTAAAAACTGGCTTTGGGGTGCGTCAGGGAGAAGTTATCAAGGAACAGGAATGGAGGAGGAGGAGGAAGAGGCGGAGGAGGAGGAGGAGGAGGAAGAAAAGGACGAGGAGGAGGAATAGGAGGCGGAGGAGGAGGAGGAGGAGGAGGAGGAGGAGGAGGAAGAGGAGGGGGAGGATGAGATTGAGGACGAGGAGGAGAAGGATTACGAGGACGAGGAAGACGAGGACGGGGAGGACGAGGAGGACAAGGATGACGATGAGGACGAGGAGGGGGAGGAGTCGGATGCGGAGGCGGAGGCGGAGGCGGTGGCGGAGGTGGAGGCGGAGTCTGAGGCGGATGCGGAGGAGGAGGAGGAGGCGGAGGCGGAGGTGCAGGCGGAGGCGGAGGTGGAGGCTGAGGCGGATGCGGAGGAGGAGGAGGAGGCGGAGGCGGAGGTGCAGGCGGAGGCGGAGGTGGAGGCTGAGGCGGAGGAGGAGGAGGAGGATGAGCTGGAGGAGTTGTAGGAGTTGGAGGAGTTGGGAGGATGAGGAGGAGGAGAAGGAGGAGGAGCAGCAGGAGGAGGAGCTGGAGGAGGAGGAGGAGGAGTTGCAGGAGTTGGAGGAGAAGGAAGAGGAAGAGGAGGAGGAGGAGGAATAAGATGGTTACGAACAATAAGAGTACTACTAGAATTATTTATTCCACTAGTGGAAATAACAGGAATAAGTCGAACCAAACTAACTCGATTACTGATAGTAATAAACACGACATGGCAGCAACACTATGAAACTAATTGTATTACTGCTATCAAGAGCAAGGTTAATGATACTAAGACTAAGACTGATCATATGGAGCATTTTAAGAAGACGACGAATAATCATAATACGAATACTAGTGCGAATAATGAGACTAGTAATAACATTAAGGCGAACACGACGATCAGCAATGATAATAGCAATGGTCGGAATGGTTATGCAATGGTAATGCCGATAATAAGAGCAATGCTTATCATACGACGACGATGAGTAACAACATTAACAATAATAACACTCTCAATAAGTATTCAAACAATAATACTGTAAGAGAACAAACAGAATAATGACAAGACAATGCGAACACTCACAGTAATACGCAATACGAATAATAACACTGCGCGCACTACTAATAATACTACGAGTAAGAAGAAACATAAACACATACGAATAATGATCAGACGAATTGTACAATAATAGTGCTACTAGGAATAATTCGACGACTAATCATTAACATGGAACGCACTCATATTAGTATTAAAACTAGTAAGAATAATGCTACTACTCGCACTAATACCTAATACTGATAGTAAATTCAATCATTGAAGAAAAATAGTACACATGATGATAATAAGAAGACGCACAAGAAGAGGAGGAGGAGGAGGAGGAGGAGGAGGAGGAGGAGGAGGGGCGAGCCTGGAAGCTCCGCTTGCTTTTCGCCTCCCCTGGCACTCGACGCGAACAGCCGGCAGCGGAGACCTTGGACCGCGCGGCGCGCCAGCAGGCGGGCGAGACGGCCTGGGAAGAGCGCTCCCTCGCCGTCGCCGCTCTCTTGCGGCTCCTTGAGGAGAGCGCTCACGGGGGCCCCTGGGGCAGGGGAGCAGCCGGCGGAGGCGGGCATTTCGAGCGCTGGCGGGTCGTGCTCGCCCATCGCCAACCGCGCCGGCCGTCTTCTGGGCGGGCCCCGAGAGCACCGCCGCGGCCCTGGCGCTGGCGAAACTCACGCCGCTGCGGAAGCCATGTGGCGGGTTCGGCCCGTCGCCACGCCAAACACATCCCAGCGGCAGGTGGTCTGGTCGCTG